CATTGGGACCTTTTCTTCTTTTTAACCCTCACCCAAGGACATGCTTTTTATTGATCTTTGTAGAGAGAGAGGGAGAGAGAGCAATATCTATGTGAGAATGAAACATCAATCAGTTGCCTCCCACATGCTAAAAACAAAGGAAATGAATGCAATGAGTGGTAGAACAGGGAAGTGATAAAAATCAACTATGACCTTGTGACTTTTTACAGCAACAAAGACTATAGCACTAATGCTCTTTTTTGTTTTGTTTTTTTTGTTTTTTTTTTTTATCCTCACCCGAGGATATTTTTCCATTTTTTACTCAGATAGAGCGGGAAGGAGAGAGAGGAAGAGAGAGAAACATCGATGTGAAAGGGACACATCGAGTGGCCACCACCCACACGACCCAACCAGGGCCGGGGACAAACTGCAGCCAAGGTACATGCCCTTAGCGGGAACTGAACCCGGGTCTCTTTGGACCGCAGGCTGACGCTCTAACCGCTGAGCCAAACCGGCCAGGGCCTAATGCTCTTTTTTGTATGTACATAATAACCAACGATTTCTACGCTTTTCCCATCCCCTTCTCCTAGTTTTGTATGGAGTGTTAATTTACAATTTAGTTCATAAGTCACCAGGCCACAAGAAGTCACATCTGGACCTGCTGAAGAGGAATGAGAATCACCAGTAGATCCTGAACTTGAGAAGGATACAATGACTAATAGGACTTGGAATCTGTCTTGTCTAGGGAGAAGGGGAGAGTGTCTTTGTATGACATGCAGAAGTATGAAGGTATTAAACATGGGTAGAAGGGTAAACTTAAATCGTGAGTAGCAAAGGCAGTGGGCTACGTAGATTCTAAGCTCATATGTCCTCAAATCCATTCTTTGACCTCCCATTGCTCTGCTCTGTACATATGGGGAAAGACCTCTATGACCAGGCTCACTGTCAGCTGATTTCTGAAAGATTGGAGGACAAGGGTGGGAAGGAATAAATCAGGGTGTTTCTCTCTCTTTCTATCTCCAGCCCTTCTCTGGCAGTGACAATCTCCTTAAGGGCCCCAGCTTCCACTAGAGGTCTTAGCCTCCAACAGATGACCCCCAGCTCTGCGATTTGGTAACAGAGCCTTCTTACCTTTGTCTCTCCTGGTCTCTGGGTTGCTTCATTTTCTCAGTTATTCTATCACCTGGTAACCACTTCCTTGAACCACATTTTCTCTGTTGCAAATACTAGCAGTGGTTGCTATTTCCCTGGTTGTCCCTAACTATCAAAACAGATGACAGCTAATTTCTCTCTAAGTACACTGTAATACAAAGTCAATATTCTGCAGCTCTCCAACTTCTGGAAATGTATATACAAATATACCTATACACCTACAGGTTATTCAAAGCCAAAAATGAGAAACAAACTCAAGACATTCTCTATAGAGAACTGGTTAAAAAACATTGGGACATCCACAGAGCTCTAAAAAAGAATAAGGAAATTCTCTATGTTCTAATATATATTATTCAGTGAAGAAACCAGGGCACAGAACAGTATAAATAGTAAGTGATCTTTTATGTAAGAAGGGGAAAAATAAGAACATTTGTATTTGTATTAAAAAAAAAAGATATACAAGAAACTAAAGTGGTTACTAATAAGAGGCAGGACAAAGGAGAACAAGGTAGACTGGATACAATATACGCTATGCTGTTTTGGATTTTGAACCACATAGATGTATTACCTATTAAAAAGGTAATAAAAATGCATATAAAGGAAAAAACTGCAACCTAGTCACTAAATGGTAAACAAAACCAATATCAAAACACATATAAAATTGTAGGAAAAACAAAAGGTAAGAAAAGAATATATACTTTATGATTTCAACTACATTCTGGAAAAGGCAAAACTATGGAAACAATAAAAAGATGTTATACTAAGGGTTGGGGGGGCAAAGATGAATAGGTGGGGCACAGAGGATTTCTAGGGCAGTGATAATACTGTGTGTGATATTATGATAGATACATGTCATTATGATTTCATCACCTGAATAAATTAGACCTAAGGATGATTCAACGACCACATACGGAGCATAAACTGATTAGCTTCACTCAAGGAAAAAATAAATAAACTGACACAACCAAACACTTTTATGAATTACTGTATTGTCAGTCTATGTGAACATGGTAACTTTTACATTAAAACAAAAATAGTTTCACTATACTGAATTACAATCACTTTGTTAAATGCTAAGCATAATTTAACTTTATTACTTTTTGAGGAAATTTATATAACATCGCTGCTTAAAATGCAAATTATAACATAGAATGTTAGCCATGATTTAGTACATAGTTTGTCTTTTTATTTTCCTCTCAGTCTATGTAGATTTGGTTAATAAATAATAAAAATAGAACCAAACACAGCAATAGTTTTCAACTTCTTTTCTTCTAGTAGAAAAAGTCTGTATTTCACCAATGTTTACAGGATATATGGGGTAATAAAATGTCACTTCGCTTTTACATTTTAAAGAAAAAACTAAAGGGAAAGGGAAAAAAACAAGCATTTATTTATTTTTTTCTTTTTAAATTTACCTTTATTGTTGACTGTATTACAGATGTTCCCCCATTTCTCCCCCTTGGCCCCCTCCTCCTTACTCGTGCCCCCCTCCTGCCTTTCCCCACACTGTTATCTGTGTCCATTGGTTATGCATATATGTATACAAATTCTTTGGTTTATCTCTTCCCTTTTCCCCCCTTCCCTTTGAGATTTGTCAGTCTAACAACCAATTTGTACTTCTTAAACTCTTCACCTTTTTCACCCATCCCCCCAACACCCCTTCCATCTGGCAATCATCAAAAAGTTCTCTATATTTATGAGTCTGTTTCTGTACTGCTTGTTCATTTTGTTTGTAGATTCAATTATTGATAGATATGTATTTATTGCCATTTTATTGTTCTTTTTTTTTTTATCCTCACCCAAGGATATTTTTGCATTTATCTTCAGGAGGGAGAGAGGGAGAAAAAGAGAGAGAGAGAGAAACATCAATATGAGAGAGACTCATCAACTGGTTGCCACCTGCACAACCCCAACCAGGGCCGGGGATGAATTGCAACGGAGGTACATGCCCTTAGCAGGAACCAAACCCGGGCTCTCTGGTTCACGGGCCAATGCTCTAACCATGGAACCAAACTAGCTAAGACTATTGTTCATATTTTTTATCTTCATCTTCCAGAAGAGCCTTCAATGTTTCATATAATACTCGTTTGGTGGTAAACTCCTTTAGCTTTTTCTTGTCTGGGAAACGCTTTGTATGGTCATTGATTCTAAATGATAGCTTTGCAGGATAGAGTAATCTTGGCTGTAGGTCCTTGCTTCTCATCACTATAAATATTTCTTGCCACTCCCTTCTGGCCTGCAAAGTTTCTTTTGAAAAATTGGCTGACAGTCTTACGGGAGCTCCTTTGTAGGTAACTACTTTTCTCTTGCTGCTTTTAAGATTCTCTGTCTTTAACCTTGGCATTTTAATGATGATGTGTCTTGGTGAGGACCTCTTGGGGTTCATCTTGTTTGGGACTCTGTGCTTCCTAGACTTGTATATCTGTTTCCTTCACCAAGTTAGGAAAGTTTTCTGTCATTATTTTTTCAAATTGGTTTTCAATTTCTTGCTCTCTCTCCTCTCCTTCTGGCACCCCCGAGATGCGAATGTTGGTACACTTGAAGTTGTCCCAGAGGCTCCTTACACTATCCTCATTTTTTTTTATTCTTTTTTCTTTTTGCTGTTCAGATTGGGTGTGTTTTGCTTCCTTATATTCCAAATTGATGGGTTGCTTCTTGGCTTCACCTACTCTACTATTGATTCCCTGCAAATTATTTTTTATTTCAGTTAGTGCATCCTTCATTTCTGACTGGTCCTTTTTTACGCTCTTGAGGCCCTCACTAAGTTCCTTAATGTTCTCACTAAGTTCATTGAGCATCCTTATAAGCAGTGTTTTGAACTCTGCATCTGTTAGATTGCTTATCTCTATTTCATTTAATTCTTTTCCTGGAGTTCTGTTTTTTCATTTGGGACATGTTTCTTTGTCCCTCATTTTGGCTGCTTCCTTATGTTTGTTTCTATGTATTAGGTAGAGTTGCTATGTCTCCTAGGCTTCCTAAGGTGGCCTATTGTAGTAGGTGTCCTGTGGGGTTCAGAGGTACAGCCTCCCTCGTCACCCCAGCTGGGTCCACGAGGTGCACACTTTGTGTGGACTGTACCCTCTTCTGTTGTAGTTGCATCTTCGATTGCTGTTGGCACATCAATGGGAGGAATTTACTCAGGCTGATCAGCTGCAAGGATTGGCTGTGCCCACTGACCACCAACCTCTGACTACCTTGGAGGATCCGCTGTGCCGGGGCCCACCACACAGAGCAAGATTTACTTCACCAGGGCTCTGGTACCCACTGAGTCCACTCCTTGAGCATGTCACTTGTTGGAGGTGATTGAGTAGTGGTGCTTTGATGTGGTCTGAAGCTGGCCACTGGGTGCGCTGGCTCTGGAGCAAGGTCAGCCACTGCCTGTGTTCTACCCAAGGCCACCAGGCATAAGCTACAAAGTGATCTTCAGATGGGTGCTTCTTGTGCTGGGCTTGCAGGTGCCCAGGCAAAGCCAAGTTGTGAACCAAGGCTGGCTGCTTCCAGTGCCAGGCCTGGGGCCACTTAACAAGAGGTATGGGGCTCGCTGAGATCTGATGCTGCCTGTTTGAGAGAATTTAGGGAAATCTGAAGCAGGAGCCAAGACAGGCCAATCCTATGGTAAAGCCAGTGGAAACAGCTTGGATGGTCCCAGAAGTTGGGTGGGGCAGGGCCTCAAGGAATTACCAGCACAGAGCAAACAGTGTGAGCCAGGTTGCTGGAGTCCCAGATATGGTGTCTGTCTGCTGGGCCGGGCTGTGGGAGAAGAGCTTACCAAAGGAACAATGGCCTCCATCAGCACGTCTGTCTGAGAGAAAAATGCCTCTCCAGCTCTCGCCCTGATGCTAAACAACTCAGTTCTTTTCCATATGTCTCTGCTGACTTTCAAACTGCTTCCCCCACACTGGAGCCTGGAGGGAGCAAGACAGAGTGAGTCTGTGCTTGGGTCCTTTAATAGGAACTGCCTGGGGCTCCAGCAGCCTCTACCTCAGTTCCCGCTGGATTTTAGAGCCAGATGTTATGGGATTTCTCTTCCTGGCACTGAAACCCTGGGCTGGAGATCCTCGTGTGGGACAGGGACCCCTTGTTCCTCAGGGAGGACCTTCACAACTGAGGTATCCCTCCTGATTTTTATCCACCACACATGGGTGTGGGACCAGCCTGTCCGCACCTCTGCCCCTCCTACCAGTCTTGATGTGGCTTCGTCTTTAATTTCATAGTTGTAGGACTTCCATTTAGCTCAATTTCAGGCAGTTGTCTCTTTAATTCTTATATATGGGTTGACTTTTAGTAACCACACCCCTATGTTCAGTACAGATTTTTAAAACCTTATTATTTAAACCATTTTAACTTTTCAAGGGATGTGGATTCTATCAGGAATAAACTTTTAATTTATCTTTAGTTAAATTTCAGTGTTTACCATTAAAAATATCACATAGCACTGAGACATAAACAAAGACTTGAATAAATGAAAAGCTATATTATATTTATGGATCAGAAAATGGCCCTTTGACCATCTGTGTAATGCCAATTTCTGCAAGAGGTCAAGTTCCTTAAAGCCTGTCATGAAATACCCAGGGATCTCTTGGTTCCCTCAGCTAGTCAACTAGTATCTTTGGAATTTCTCTTTCGGTCTGAGCCACATGCCATCATCTCTCTGCCTTTCAAACTCTATACATCACTTTATCTCTTGAGTTTCTTTTGCTTAAAAACAACCCTGTCTTTACTTTTTCTGTTCTTGGTAAGATGCAGTACCTTTTCCCAGACCATAGCAGCCCAAGGGTAAGATCGGATCACAATGGATCTCCCAAATCGTATGTCGCCAGCTCAGATTCTGCCTCTACCTGCATTCCAAGAGTTCAGGTTTCTCTGCTGAACAGCTCTGGGTGCCCACCAACAGCTGCCTTGCAGTGCTCTACAGAAATATCTCTTGGTTACCCAGTTGGTTGCCACCATTTTGCTCCTCTGCTAGCAATTCTCCCTGGTGTTGCTAATGAACAAAAAAGCAGCCATGCTGCCATGCCCATTGATGGTATGACAGCTATAGGGACTCACCAACAGGTGATGCTAATGGAACCTGCCAGACTGTGTCACAAGTCCTGTCCAGTGACACTTCCAAAGCCTTGCCCCTAATGCTACTGATACTTTCTGTCTCAATGGTACAGCACCTATAATTTCTACACCATTTTTTTTAAAAAAAGAGAGAGTGGAAGAGAAGGAGGGGGGAAGAGAGAGAAAAAGAAGAAGGGGGAGAGAGAGAGAAACAGCAAAGTGAGAGAGAAACATCGATCGGTTGCCTCCTATACACACCCTGACAGGGGATCAAACCCAAAATCTAGGTATGTGCCCTGACCACAACATCTTGGTGTATGGGACAATGCTTCAACCGAACCACCTGCATGCATTTTTTGAAAAAACTTAATTAATCTCCAGTTGGTAAAGGAAATCTCTTCTTTATTGAAGAATGCTAATGATAATAAATGCAGAAGGAATGATAGAATCAGAAAATCACCATTTGGCAACCCCCGCCCCTCAATGAAATAATTGCTTCAGGCAACAATCATCAATGGATGTCAAAATATTAACAAGTAAAACAAATACAGCAAAAGGCTAGTACTTATTGAATTAAGTGGCAGGTAAATTCTTTCATCCTACTGTATGATTAAAAAAAAATTTTTAAGTGGGGCAGGGGTAAAGACTCCCTTAATTTAAGATGAGGTTTTTCTCATAAAGACTGATGTTCCCTTACATAAAGGAACCATCTTCTGAGCTTCTGAGCTGAGCAAAGCTTAAGCCTGAGCTGAGAACCCTGCTATACTTGGGTCATAGTTTCTGCCATAATGCCTCTCTCTCTCTGATCTTTTCAGCTCTGTTTCCTCCCACCTGTCTCAAGAGCAACCCTTGAAAACAAATATGAGTTTACAATTGCATAGTAACAACAGGGAGCAAACCAGAACTATCTGGAGAGCTTTTTCAAAATATACACACCCAGAGCCCGACCCTTAGATATTTCACTCATTAGGTCTTGGGTGGGGCCTGGGCACATGATTTTGAAAGTCTCCAGATAACTCTGATATACCTCTCTGAAAGAGGTGTTTCTCTGAAACCATATCAAGGTTTTGACCTGATGAATCCATATACATAAGAAGGGATGTGGCAGATTTAGAAATTGAAAATATAAGTATCAGACTAGGAAACTAAAAACATCCATATCAGTTTGGTAGTCATACATGCTAGTCACTGATGTCTAATTCTCCTCTTTCCTTAACCCATAAAACTGCACTTTTCCTTGCTCATTTGATGTTAGACCTGGTGATGTTACTAGCTTTGGTTAAAGAAATATAAGCAGCAGTTGCATGTGTCCCTTCCAAGTAGAAGTCTTCAAGAGAGTGCACCAGTCCCCGTATTGCTTTTCTTACCTTAATGATGGCAGAAACACGTGTCAGGATGGAGCCTCCATCAGCTTAGATCCCTGGGTGACTATGATAAAAAAGGACATACAATGGGAGTAAGAAATAAACTTTTTGTGTGTGATAAACCATAGAAATAGGAAAGTTGTTTATTAATGCGGCATAATCTACTCTATCCTGACTGATGAACTGGCAATTTTTTTTTTTTTTTTTACAGAGCCTAAACAATTTAAAGAGAATTAGTTCTATTTTCATCAGTGACTAAAAAGTTACAGAAACAATGTGAATCAAGGGCAGTGAGGGAGCTTTGGTGTCACTTGTTTATTATAGTAGTAAAAAAGTATATAACTGCATAATGTACAATTTCTTTTAGTAACCAGTAACATTTATGAAGTACTTATCATGTACCAGGCACTATGCTGAGCAATTTACATGGATTACAGTCAAACCTCGGTTCTCAAACTCTCCCATCTAACAGTTCAGTTCAAGTTGTTCAAGGAAGATACGCCTTGGTTGTTGAGCAAGCTTTGGTTCTCAACCTGACAACCCTTACCTGCTGATACATCAGCATGACAAAAAGCGTCTCTCAGGCCACAAACAAAGGAGAGTATGAGTGGGTTTACCTTTAAACCTGGTATTAACCTCTCAGCAAATTGTACTGTGAATATTTTTGTGGGTTTTTTGTTTTGTTTTGTTTGTTTTTTGCATTTGTTGCTGGTGAAATGGACAATTAGCACAATTTTAAAACATAAAGAGGTCATCAGGAGTGCTAATGTAACCAAGGGTGTGAAAGAAACAATGATCACAGGCAGTTGAAGAGGTGGGAAAACTGTTGTTGATTTGGAAAAGCCATTAATGTGACAGCATTCTGGAGGCAGTAATGAGTGAAAAAGTGAAGATGCCACATACTGACCTCCTGAAAGACACCCTTGGAACCAGTGCTGAAAGTGATTCATTTAAGGCTAGTAGGGAGAGGTTTGATAAATTTAAGAAAAGAAGTGTTTGTTTATTGATTAAACAGTACATTAGACATGTACTGTATATAAGATAGATTAAAACAGGGAATCATTTCGGGGTCTGGAACAAGTTAATTCAATTTACATGATTTCTTATGGGGAAAAATGAATCCATTTTCGAACAAATGGCTGCTCAAACCACCTTCCAGAACAAATTAAGTTCGAGAACCGAGGTTCCACTGTATTTTACTTACTCTTATACAGATGAAAAAAAGTAAAGTTTAAAGAAGTTAAATAACTTGCCCAAGGTCACAGAGCTAGGAAATGGTGAAACATAGACTCTATCACAGGCAACAGAGCCACAAAGCCTGTGCTCTTTTTTTGCGGGGGGGAGGGGGGGCGGGGGCGGGGTACGTGCCCCTAGTGGGAACTGAACCCTCGACTCTCTGGTCCACAGGCCGACGCTCCAACTGCTGAGCCAAACCGGCCAGGGAAAAGCCTGTGCTCTTAATCACTACTCTACACTGCTCCCTGTGTGATTTTTAACAAAATTACTTCACCTGTTTGAATCTCAGTTTCCTTATTTGAGAGCTACAACACAGAGTTTTTAAGAGAATTGAAGGCGATAATTGGGTAAAGCAATTAATATGCTTCCTGGCATATAATAGGCATTTAAGACATGGCAGCTATTATTTTTAGTAATTAATATGTCAGTCATTTCTATAAACAGAGATTAGTCAATATGAAAAAATGTCATATGAATACTTGTCATGACCTATGGGAATTTAGTAGTGTAAAAAGATAGGTAACACGGATACAGTAATCAAGTCCTACATTACTATGCTTGTATTACTTAACGGTCAATATTGAAATGACCATTGTTGACTTCTTGAAATAGGTTTTTAAAAATAAACATACAGTGTACAAATAGCACCTATAAAATTCCCAATGATACAATAACTGCATCCAGTAGCTCCAAGGCCAAGAAAACAGATTTCAAGGATAGTGAGAAGATATTTTATGCTCAGCTAGTCACAAATGATATACCAGGATGAAATCATTTCAAGGCCCTTATGTTCATATATTAATTGATGAATTATGTAAGACAACACCCTATTAAATATGAAACTATTTGTTCTGGGTCTTTTATTTGTTTAATTTACTCCTTTCTTTTACTTCCTTATGTAATAATATGAGTACAAGTACAGGTTTCTATACAATCATGTCTTCTGCAAACAAAGACAGTTTTATTTCCTCCCTCCCCAATCTGTATTACTTTTCCTTCCTTTTCTTGTTTTATTGCATCAGCTAGAACTTCCAGTGTGATGTTGAAAAGAGTGATGAGTGTAATCATCCTGCCTTGCTCCTGATCTTAGAGGGAAAACTTCAAGTTTCTCACCATTAAATATGAGGTTCACTGTAGGTTTTTTTGTACATGTTCTTTTTTATTTTTATTTTTTATATTTTATTATTATTATTATTATTTTTATCCTCACCCGAGGACATTTTACCATTTTTTGTTCAGACAGAGCGGGAGGGAGAGAGAGGAAGAGAGAGAGAGAGAAACATCGATGTGAAGGGACACATCGAGTGGCTGCCACCCACACGACCAACTAGGGCCGGGGACAAACTGCAACCGAGGTACGTGCCCTTAGCGGGAACCAAACCCGGGTCTCTCTGTACCGCAGGCCGACGCTCCAACCGCTGAGCCAAACTGGCCAGGGCTATTTTTATTTTTAATCCTCACCCAAGGATATTTTTCTATTTATATTCAGATAGAGTGGGAGGAAGGGGGAGGGAGAGAGAGAGAGAGAGAGAGAGAGAAACATCGACGTGAGAGAGACACATCAACTGGTTGCCTCCTGCACGACCCCAACCAGGCCTGGGGATAAACCACAACAGAGGTACATGCCCTTGACTGACGCTGGCGGCTGACACTCTAACCACTGAGCTAAACCGGCCAGGGCTGTACATGTTCTTTATCAAGTTGAGGATGTTCTCCTCTATTCCTAGTTTAAGAGTTTTTATGATAAATGATAATTGGGTTTTGTCAAATGCTTTTCCTGCATCTAATGATATGATCATCTGATTTTTCTTCTTTAGCCTGGATTACATTAACAGTTTTTCAAATGTTGAACTATTTTATATATGATTGTATACAATTTTTTTTTTTTTATCCTCACCAGAGGATATTTTTCCATTTTTTTTTGTACAGATAGAGTGGGAGGGAGAGAGAGGAAGGGAGAGAGAGAGAGAAACATCGACGTGAAGGGACACATCGAGTGGCTGCCACCTGCACGACCAACCAGGGCCGGGGACAAACTGCAACTGAGGTACGTGCCCTTAGCAGGAACCGAACCCGGGTCTCTCCAGACCGCAGGCCGACGCTCTAACCGCTGAGCCAAACTGGCCAGGGCTGATTGTATACAATTTTTTATGCATTAATGTTCATTCTACATCTCTTTTAAGACCTTCCATTGTCTTCATAATTACCTTCTAAGTTTGGCATATGCCTTTTAGTCCATTGCCATTTCTTATCACTCTCACTCTCTGCATTTCTTACAACTTATATTTCCCCTAAAATATCAAGTGTTGTCATACTCATATGCATTTACAAAGGCTCTTCTGTATTCCTACAGCATCCTTTTCGAACTTGTATTTTTCCTACTAAACTCAGCTCTCAGCAGAAGCCTTTCTTGATGTCTCCAGGCAGTGTAGCTGTCCCATTCAACTTGTGCATAAAAGCAAAAATTATTTTTTTTGTATTACAAAGAAAAAAAATCCAAATTTTTAGATAGGTATTTAAAATTTTCAATGTAACTCAATATATACAATGAAATAAACTATAAAATACTGATGTTGTGGATTATGACCTTTAGAAATTCAACAGCTAAAACAGACACATTCTGAAACAGCATATCAACAATGATACAAACACTGAACAAGAAAGTATTTCAAGATAAAGGTTAAGTATATATCAAGACTGAAGGCAAACTTGAGTACTCATTTAAGTGTACACTTAAGTATGTCACTTCTAAGGAACGCATTATGAAATGTTTGAGTCTTTTTATTTCTTTTTCTTTATTCTGAATGATCAAGAATTTATACCCTAGAGTCAAAGATTTGGGGCAAACACCACTTATAATCTGTGAGATCTTGAGCAAATGATTACACCTAGTCTCAGTTTCCTCATGGGATAAAAAGAAATAGTAATTGGGGGTGATGGTAAATGATGGTAATGATATTATTTGAATTTTTAAAAATCATGCCATTATATAAGCCTCTGTTTCCTTCCACATACAGTGTTGGAAAATATATTTTCTACCACAAATCATTAATGTTCTGTGAACAATAACCTGTTGAATAGAGAACTCCTTCTCCAACATAGTTCCCCTTTACTCATTTGTATAACTTTGACAAAAATAGTAGAATATGGTGCACACTAGATGAAGTGATATTCCAAGGAGAGTAATCTCCCTAACAAAGAACTTTCTTTTAATATTTATTAAAAATAAATTATGTCTAGAAAATAATCACACATAATTTCAGGTTACTTGGATACATTTGTTTTTCAGGGAAGCATAAATGGCTTTGAAAATCTCAGAGATGCAGATATGAAAAAACAAGCAAGACAAAAATTTGGATACACTATAGTCATATGTGATATTACAGGCTGAACTGTACAATGTCCAAAATTCATAGGTTAAAGTCCTAACCTCTAGTACCTCAGAATGTGGCCGTATTTGGAGACAGGGTCTTGAAAAAGGTAATTAAGTGAAAATGAGGTCATTAGGGTAGGCCCTAATTGAATATGACTGGTGTCCTTATAAGAAGAGATCATTTGGACACAGACACATAGAAGACAAAGTGAAGATACAGGAAGAAGATGGCCACTTACAAATCAAGGAGAGAGGCCAGGAATAAATCCTTCTTCAGGCCCCTTAGAAGAAGCCAACTCTGCTGAACCTTGATCTCGGGCTTCTTACCTCCAGAACTGTAAGAAAAATAAACTTCTGTTGTTTGAACCATCCAGTCTGTGGTATTTTGATATGTAAGCCCTAGCAAACCAATACATGTGAAAAGAAATACTAGAATATAAGCTCCATGAAGGCAGTTGTTGTTGTTTGTTTGTTTGTTTGTTTTTTGTCTTTTTTGTTTATCGATGTATCTCAACTACCTAAAACCTAGCAGATACTAGGTGTTCAATAAATATATACTGAGTCAACTAATAAATAAAGCAGATTAATCAAATTCTTCCCATAGATGACTCTATTAAATACCACCAATGTTTCAGTAATGCTTTTTTATTTTCATAACACCTGAGACCCCAGACTCCCAGTGTTCTGACTAAGGCTGTGGTGTAATGAATCCGCCACCACAGCCCAAATTTATAAAATCCCCTGGTGATACTCTTGTTATGATTCAATTCCTGGACTAACTTCTTTATGAGAAGAACTAAGAAGACAAAAAAGCTGCTATAATGCAACAAATGTGATTTAGTCCACATAGAGAAACAGATCCAACTGATTAGTCCCATCCTGGGGAAAATACCACAAACGGATGTAACTTGCTGGTATTGCTGTTCCCTCAAAAGTATCTGGTTAGCTAATTTCACTAAAGGCATTAAGAACAGCCTGGACTTACAATTTAAAGGAAAAAAAATAAATAAATAAGGACTTTGCTGTTGTTGTTATTAAAGCATTTCTTGTGTGGACACAGGAAAAAGACTAATTAAATTTCCTTCTGACTTATTCAATTATGGATTCATGGTGCCTGCCTGTTTTCAAACTGATTTCCATGTCTTAATGTCATCACTATCACCATCAATCAATACTTAATTTGGTACCCTAAATATGCTATGGTAATAACAGCAAAATAAAACATAAAAGAAATATGGAATACATAAAGTACTCTGATTTTAACCTATATGCAAATATCTTTTAAATAACAGCTAAAGAAAAAAAATCACCAAAATTTTCAGTAATTCTCTCTCTTCACATTATTTGTAATTTTATATGTCTCTATTTCTAAAGCATAAAGTTTTCAAAACCCATTCTAATTGCTAATAATTACAGGAAGAAAATTTAAGGTTAGAAATCCCCCCACAAGGAAGAGGACGATATGCTAATATTTGTTTTTAAGTATGTTTCATCAGTACAATTTATACAGAATATATATGAGAAAGCCAGAATCTACCAGTTTCACGGGAAAGTAAAATGCAGCATTTTGAAATCAAAATCTGGAAACTCTCATCCATTTGGAAAGTAATTTAAAATCAAGTCAAAGTTTTTTCTCAGTTTTGGGCCTGGAATCAGCTCCCAAACTGATGCAATCTGAAACCAGAGCCAACAAGTGTTTACCAAAGTCTTTGTCCCAAAGGGAGAAGCCTCTTTTCTAATCCTCCAGAAGTAACGCTGTTCGGCTTGCCTAGAGACTTGAGCAAAGGTAGCAGTAAGGAATACAAACATGAAATTCTTTTTAAAATATTTTCCTTTCCAGCAAAAGTGAAAGCTACATGCTCTTTCATAGTATGCAATTTGCAATCAAGTTTTCCTCTACATTTGCTCCTCTTTCCTAGGAACCACAGCATAAAAGGAAGTTCATGCCTCTGGGGTTTATCTTCTGCAGAATGGGAAAAATGAAGCTGTAGACTTTCTCCAGGATGATTTATTTAGAAAAGGTCATTAAATTACTACACTTCCCTCTTTATCTTATCCAGGAGGCTTATAAACCAAATGAATGTACAAGCTTTACTCCACCCCTGTGAATATAAGACTTTGCCCATAAGTGACTGGAAGTAACCCTGAGAACTCTGTATTAGGCTTTTATCACATACTAGAGCCTGCACCTGAAAGCAAAGATGATCAGCCATTCTCTTAACATCTGTCACAATTGTGTGTACTCTAGTTTCAGTCCTGAGAGCCACAGGCTCCAGAGCTAAAATCAGAGAGAAAGTCTACCATTTCATATTACCCAAACACCACAAAGCGTTAAGTATTATGCAGCCAAATACTGAACACATTAAAAGAAAAAAGTGCTCCTCACAGGGAGAACTTTGTGATGAAACAGCTCTGTATCTTGATTGCCGTGGCTGTTACAAACCTATGCATGTGATAAAATATGCCGAACTATACACACATCTTCTGCCACTGTCCATGTCCTGGCTTTCCTGTAAATTATCCGATGTAACTATTGGGGGAAACCAGGGAGAGGACACACATAAATAACCCCTCTGTACTGTCTTTGCAACTTCCTGAGAATCTGCATTCATTCCAAAATAAAATGTTTTCGAAAGTGCACCTTGCCATGTACATCAACACGCTTTGAACATTCTGCATTAGGACGACTCATGGAGAATAAAACATAGCCTGGTTTTCCGATGTAAGGTTTTAGCCACAACCCCACAGACAGCTTGAGGCTGGGAATAATCTGCACCTGCTTTCAGTGCGCCTGGGACACCCTTTCCGACCTCCCGCCCCGCCGGTCCCCTTCCGATGGCTGGCGCCTTCTCCTCTCGGGTCACCGCTCAATGCCACCTCCTTGCAGAGGCCTCCCTCGTCCCCCAGCTAAAGTAGATGCCATCTGCTAGTCTCCGGTACGGTATCCCCTTCACCGCGTTCTTTGCCACGTGTAATAATTCGGTTAGTTTGTCTCACTAGACTGTAAACCCCACGAGGGCGGCCCGCTGTACCCAACAGCGAGCACGATGCTGGGCAGACGGCAGGTGCTCCAAAGGGATGTGGTTTGAATGACCGCACTCCACTCGAATGAACTCCCTTGCCTCGAGGGTGGTCGCGTCGGTTCCTCCCCTTCACACCATTTGTCCTACAGACCAGGAGGGCCTCAGCGCCCTCACTTGGGCCACCGGGTGCCCCTCGGCTTCCTCCCCTCCATCGGACCCAGCCGACCTGGGAAGGCGCCATTTTCCTCTCTCGTCAGCTCAGACGGGCGCCTTTTTCTTACTCACACCTTTCCCTCAAGCCATCCCGTCAGCCCCTTCCCCAGGCCCCGCAGCCCCTGCCCCACGCCTTGGGAGCCCCGTTCCTCCTTTCCGGCGCCGCCCCTCGGCGGGCACCCCCGCTTAGGCCAGCCCTTAGCCCTGGGGCAGAGAGCGAAGCGCACGGCCGCAGTCCGCGCGGGCAGGGCGCTGGGCGGAGCTCGGGGCGTGTCCTCCTCGACACTGGGCGTGATTGGCCCGGCCGCGCGGAGGGGCGGGGCTCCAGCCTGAGCCTCGAGCCCTGGGTCTCTCTAGGGCAAATTCCTTGCGGTTGCGGCACCGGTTTAGGCGAGCGCGACGCGACCGAAGTGACTCCAGTTCGGGCAGCATGTCTGAGATGCGGCACTCAGCGGACACCCAAGCCCAGCGGCACCCTGACACCTTCAAGGGTGAGCCCCGCGCCCCGGGTAAGGCCTGCGGGGTCACCCGCCGCCCCCTACCCCTTTCCTCGGGTTCTAGCCCCAACCCGGAGGTCCCAGGCCCGTGTCCGCTGCTTCTTGGCTGTGCGTCCGCTGCTCAAAGCCGCGTGTCCTCACTTGTTCGCCGAGAAGGATCAACCCTGCTTCGCGGGCTGGGGGTCGGGTTTAGGGAGCTTGAGGTGCGGAGTGAACGCCGCGTGCCCGGCCGCTGTGGGCGCGTCTCCAGTGCGCAGAGCCCTCGCCCGGGCTCGCGTTATCCAGCGGTGGTCAGATGCCAGGCCCTGTGCCAGAGCTTTCCGTTCATTATCTCCCGCGACACGCGCCGACGCGGGAAAGCAGAAGGGACTCGCGGCCAGCGAGTGGTGGGAGCGGGGCTCACACCCGCACGCCACACCTCTCCCGACGCCCCTTTCCTTCCCGCCCATCCCCGGAGTGAGCCCCCTCCCCCGAAACTGGAAAGAACTCCTGCTCCCCCACCAAACCCCTCGGCCAGTTTCACGGAAGATTCAAGACCCACTGTGAGGCTGCGCCCCCAGCTCCCGACACATAGTGGGCCGTATTTGCAGAAGAGAAGGAGGGAGTCCCTTTTTGGCATTCTTGTGGTATCTCTTCCCAGCTTCACTTCCTGCCCCATCCTGCCCCTCCACTTCACTTTGTCCTAGGGGACCTCAATGTGTAGCGGCTTTTGTCCCTCAGAAGGAATTCTAAGTTCCCCTATCCTCGTTGCCATCCTACCAGGGCCTTCCCAGTCTTGCAGGCAAAAACTGTGAGTGGCTCAAACTTGTTCCCCTGGGAAGGAACTAGTACCCTTGAGAAAGTTATCAACTTGAACCATTATTGGCTAACCCTTTAGGGGCTTCATAGAGGCTATAAACCTCTCAGGAGTAGTGGTTCCCTCCCAGGGGCTTTTGGCGACCCAAGGAATTATTTCTATGGATGGAATTTCAGACAGGATGACATAGTGAATAAATTTAGGGGGCTGGGTGGGCTCTTCCAGCACCCCCCACAAAGAACACTATATTGAACTCATCTATTCTGATTATTCATAAGCCACCTAGCCCACTCATCCCGCATAAGCCCCATTTCCCTTGCCCAGCGATCATTGTCTTTAATTCCTTCCCAGGAGCATCAGAAGAATTATAGAAATCTTTATCCATCACTTTTCTCTAGTAAGCACCTTGTAGAGTTATCTTCCTAAATCAGGAGTGTAACTGGGAGGATATACTTGAAGAAGTTTATACTTGGAGAGGTTAAATTACTTAAATGTCACACATTTAGTTTGTATGGAGCCATATTTTAAGTCTGAATTTGACTGACACCAAAACTTGAACATGAAAAAAATTGTGCCATCCTCTCTTTTCCTAGATAAGAAGGTGGGCAGGTCGTTTTCCCAGTACCCTGACTTCTTGGTGGGCAACTAAAGGACTATAACAATATTAAAGGTTTGGTGAAAATTGCCTAGCCAGTGTAGTTCAGTGGTTGAGCATCGACCCATGCACTGAGATCACTGGTTCAATTCCTGGTCAGGGCACATGCCCAGGTTATGGGCTTGATCCCCAACAGAGGGCATGCAGGAGGCAGCTGATCAATGTTTCTCTCTCATCGATGTTTCTGTCTCCTTCTCCATTTATCTCTCTCCAAAATCAATAAAAACATTAAAAAAAATAAAATAAAATAGTTAAAGTTTGGTGAAACTGCAGTGGGAAATGTTTGTAGAAGCTCTTTAGGAATAAACATGATCTTTGTACTTAATTAGTTATTTTTCATGGTCACAGACCAGTTTTCACTTCTAAGTTCTTTTTCTTGGTTCTAGACTTAACTTTTTATTTTAGAAATCTAATGAAAACTATGCACCCTCTCCTCAGAAAATTATACATACAAAGAAAATTTTGTTTTGTCTATGTCACTTTTTTTAACTTGCAGTCATTATCTGAATTATTTCAGTACATCACTGACACAATTAATAATAGTGTTCTTGCCAGTGCAATAATCATATGTGTTGATCCCTGTTTCTTCTACAAATACTAAAAGAAAACCTCTTGTTCTTCATTGAAAAAATTAGTGAAAAAGTTTTCAGTTAGTGCAGTAACTTTTTTGTTAATAGAAACCTTATAGATCTAACACTGCTAGAAATGCCATTACTAGAATTTACTAAATAGAATGTATTGAGTGCTTACCATGTGACAAACAATCTGAGTGCATTAGAAACATTATCTAATTGCAATTTTCTAACAACTCCACAAGGAAGACATCATTATCCAATATTTTACTACAAGGAAACTAAGGCTCAGAGTGGGAAAATCATGTACATTTGTGTGTGATTCAGCGCTACGTTTCAAACTTGGGCTATCTGGTTTTCCAAACCATTTTCCCATCCTAGAGCTACCTCCAAACTGTGGACCTTGTCAAACAGTATTTCACTGAAGGTGAGAAACAAAATAACAAAGAAAGCCCAGAGGAACCTAGCTTCAACCTAGATCTCTTGAATAAGACAGCTCCAGAGGGCTGCTTCTGGGGGAAGCAGTAGAATATAAAAGCCCAAACTCTTTCCCTCTAATTCTGTTTTTGCAGATAATTAGTCTTAGGAATGTAAACCTAGGGCAAGACTAATTTTTCTTAAAGCCAGTGCATTCATTTTGTAATGAAATAATGCAAGTGGATTGTAAAGAAATGTATTATAATTAAGGATCATGTAAACAGAACAAATCCCTTTGGGAGAATACCTGGGGGGAAAAAAAAAAAAGCCAGGGACTGATTTGTTTATTTCAGTTGTTAGATTGTGGAGAACTTTGTAACTTCTTCAATAATTAATCTAGTTAAACCATCAATAGTCATAAATTAACTCAAATAGAGGACCAAATCTACAATAGTGGCGTTTATCTATTTTTTTTATTATTATTAAATAGGTTCTTGGTACCACCTGCTGGTTTAAATTTTACACTGTAAAGGACAGAGTTAATGATTACCTGGTTAGTTTTGAAGAAAAATAATTTTTTAAAGAAAAATAAATGTTGATGTTAATAAAGTGATAGAGATTAGATTCAAAATCTATTTCAAGTAGATGTGGAAACCGTATTCCTGAAAACTATTGTAACCACGAAAAAGTGAGCATCTCTCTTCTGTCTGCCTGACATTCTATGCATTACCTCTATCATAATGCTTATTACACAGTATTACAATTATGAATTATAATCACCTTTATTAGACCAGAAAAGCTTTTGAAAACACATTGTGTCCTTTGCTGAAATAAGTTTAGTATCAAGTACATAATAGGTTTGTAAAAATGTTTGTTGAAAGAAAAAGGAAGCAGAGGAGGGAGACAAAGTCCTCCATGGAATAAAATCACATTGTTAAATGTTTGGCTTATGTTGAAAATTTTTCCTGTCTATAGTTACTAAGTTTATTTAACCCAACCTGTTGGTTTTAGAATGTGAATATTATGTTCCTTATTTTATGCTTTTATTGCAGGTAGACTATTTGTCTGAATATTGTCAAGAACATATATTGTACCTAATAGGGAATCTCCTTTTAATTAAAATGTGGTAAGAGAATCTAGATGTTACAGTCAGCAGAAAGAAGGAAGTGTCAATTCTCTACTGACTCACACTTGTTCCTCTATTCTCTTTAAATCTTTGTGTGTACTCTGGGACTGGTAAAGAAACTTGAACCATAAGCATTTAGCCTGACATTTCAGTAGATTAGTCTTAAAGATACAAAGCATAAAATGTCTATCCTAAAGTATCAATGAAAACTATACCAACTTTATTCAGTTGTGAATGTGCACTTATGTGAAGCTGGTATAGTGCAGTGAAATGAGAGTGGAATTTAGAATTGAAATATCTGAACTGAGATCTCAGTACTATCACTTACTACCTGGGTCACCTTGGGCAAGTTTCTCAACCTCCAGAGTCAATTCCTCTTCTATACATTAGGCATCATCTTACTGCAATATCTATTTCCCAAGGTTTTGAGTATGAAATGAGAAAATATGTGTGAATGTCCTCTTGCAACTTTAATGTGGAAATTATTAAGACACTTAATGGGGCCCTGGCTGGTTTGGCTCAGCAGTTATAGTGTCGGCCTATGGACCAAAGAGTCGTGGGTTCAATTCTTGTCAAGGGCACATACATTTGTTGCGGTTTGTCCTCGGCCCTGGTTGGGGTCGTGCAGGAGGCAACCAGTCAATGTGTCCCTCTTGCCTCAATGTTTCTCTCTCTCCCTCTCCTTCCCACTCTATCTGAAGATAAATAGAAAAATATCGTCAGGTGAGAATTATTATTTTTTTTAAAAAAAAAGGTATTTAATGGGGAAAGCAAAAAATAAAACGGTTAATGACTTCAGAAAGCCTAATAATTATACTGGAAATTTTAAAAAGTTATATGAAGACAGTCCAAGAAAGTTTAGAATTCTGACTTACCTCCCCCAATGTAGTTTGTTTCTCCTCCAGAGACAGAGCCCCCAAGCAGATTGTTAGTCTTGGTATTTTCTCCATGGTGTGCAGGTCCCAGAAGGTAATTCACTTAGTAAAAAGTTTATTCCTGTAAACTATATCAATAATATTAAAGTTGTGGTAATAACAATGGCTAATATTTAGTGAACGTTTCCTAAGTGTCAGGCACTTTGCATAGTTTCTCATTTAACCCACATAACAACTGTGTCAGGACTGTTCTTTTCCCTCATTTTACTAATGAGAAAATTCAAGGGGAGAGGTGGAATCTGACACTACAACGCCAAGCAAGCTCTCAGCTACTGCTTAGCTATTTGGCCTCAGCTAAAGAACTAGGAACCTTGTGATCCAATTTCCTTATGCTTCTGTTTCCTTTTCTTTCTTTTTTTTTTTTTTTATCCTCACTCGAGGACATTTTTCCACTTTTTGTTCAGATAGAGTAGGAGGGAGAGAGAGGAAGAGAGAGAGAAACATTGATGTGAAAGAGACACATCGAGTGGCTGCCACCCGCATGACCAACCAGGGCCGGGGACAAACTGCA